AGCTGTGGTTGGAGATTGCAGTAGGTTTGCTGGAAGGAAGATGAGTCTCCGGGCCTGGTGGCATGAAGCATGGGCTGAAGGCAGGGTGTCGTCCCGGAGGGCCTGGCACGGGAGGCTGTGGGTGGCACTGCCCTACAGTATCCACTCTCTTACAGGTCTGGCCTCTGGAGCCTGACTCTATCCGGACGAGCTCTTGCCCCTTTGGGTCTGGTGAGTCCACGGCAGGGCTGGGGGGTGAGGGGTGTGGAGCAGGCGCGTACTGACGCCCCGTTCCCGCAGACCCACGTGCCCACCGCAACCTCTGGCATGCTGTCCGCGTGCAGCTGCTGCCCCCAATGAGCTGGCGGCTAAATGCGCCCTGCCCTGTCTCCGCTGTGGCCGAGCTGTGCTGGCAGGCTCCAGGCGGGGGCCCCTGCCAACCGCTGGTGCCACCGCTGTCCCCAGAGAATGTCACAGCCAATGTAAGTGAGGTGGGGCTGAAGGGGGCGCCCAGGGACCACCTTCGGGGACCCACCTCCTGTCCTCTTTCCACAGAGGGCCCTTGAGTTCCCGCTGCTGGAAGGGCACCCCAACCTCTGTGTCCAGGTAAGAAAGGGGGCGCCAGACTGCTAGGGTGGGCAGCAGGGCCCCCAGCCAAGTCCGGGCACCCTCTATCCGAGGGTCCCTGGAGCAGCAGAATTCGGGGGTGTAGGAGCCCCATTCAGGACCCCCCAGCTGTCTGAGGGTAGAGGAGTGACTGTGGGTGGTGATGAAGCCCCTTGTGGAGTACCCAGCCGGGTGCCCGCCTGTCAGGTTGGAATCATCAGGGCTGGGCGGGGCTTGGTGCCCACCTTACACGTGTGAGCCCTTGGCTTGATCCCTGGGCACTGCCAAGGGAAACGCATTCCCTCCCCGTGTTCTGGGCTCAGCTCCAGGCCAGGCCCTGCTTCTGGCTGATGTGTGTGAAGAAAATCGTTGAGCGTCTCCCTGAGAGGCTCAATGTCCCTCGGAGAGGCAAAAGAAGTGAAATGTGAACAGGCACCTCAAGAAAAGCCCCTAGATTAAAAAATATATTTTTGATTTACTTATTTTGGTTTTGGGGTGCACCTGGCAATGCTTAGAGGTTACTCCTGGCTCTGCACTCAGGAATCACTCCTGGCGGTGCTCAGGGGACCATATGCGATGCTGGGGATTGAACCCAGGTTGAACACGTCCAAGGCAAACGCCCTACCCCGTACTATACCTCCGGTCCCAAGCCTCTGGATTTTAAACTCTCTCAACACTGGGAAAAGTGGGGAGAGGCTGCACTTTCCAAGGGGGGGGGGAGACAAAGTCCAGGATTAAGACCCTTGCTTTGCACGCCGTCGACCCTGGTTCCACGTACAGTACTGCATGGGGTCCCCTGAGCAGTGCAGGAGTAACCCCTGAGCAGAGAGCCAGGAGCAAGCCCTGAGCCTGCCCCCAGGAAAAAAAGTGAGTGAAGGGGTGAGGCGAGAAGGGGACATCTGAGTGCTCGATGGGCCGTGAAGCGGGTGTGCTGGGGCCGCTGGCTTCCCAGTACCAATGACCCACTGGTGAGAAACGCATTGAAGCCGGGTCTGCTCGCCGCAGGCTGGGGAATCCTGAGTTCTGGGCCTGTTTCTTCCTGCCTCCCCCCACCGCTTCTTTGCAGGTGAGCGGCTGGGAGGGGCCGCAGCTGCTGGAGTGCCTGTGGGCAGGTGAGTGGGGACTCGCCAGGGCCAGGCGGGGGTGCTGGTGGCCGTCACTGAGAGTGGGCTTGCCCTGTTGCAGACTCGCTGGGCCCTCCCAAGACGGATACGCTGCTGGTGGAGACACGAGGCGCGCCCGGCAACGGCTCACTCTGTGCCCTGGACACCCGCGGCTGCACCCCACTGCTCAGCAGGGCCTCCCCGGTGAGGACCCTCTTCTCATGGTCTCTGGGACCCAGGGCGGGGCGGGGGGAGGCAACGATACAGCCTCTCCCAGACTGCGTGTCAGCTGCAGCCTGACACACAGTGCTCATGCCCCACCCCTTGGCTTGGCAGAGGACCGCGGGCATCGGGCAGCAGATTCTTCAGGACCTGCGGGCAGGCCAGTGTCTGCAGGTGTGTATGTCAGGGGTGCTGCGCGAGCCCCTCTTCCTGCGGGCAGGCAGGGATCACCTCACTGGCCTCAGTGTCCACCACACTGCCGTGCTTCCTTCGTGTCCAGCCCCGGGAAGCAAGAGTGGAAACAGCTGTCCCTCAGCTGCCCACTGCTGGCTGGGAACCAGGTGGTCACCTTCCGGTGAGAAGAGGGGGTGGGGCATGTCAGGGAGAGCTACAGGGAAGGCTCTTCCTGCACTGCAGTTCCCGAGCACTGCCACGAGTGACCTGTCCAAGGGAATAGCAGGTGGAGCACGCTGCAGGGACCTATTGTGTACGCATGTGTGCGTGTGTGCACACGGTGACAGGGTGTCTGGAGATGAGGCTGTGTGTGCAAGAGTGTGAGATCAGGCTGTGTGCAATCGTGTGCACGTGCATGAGCAGTGAAACACGGGCATCTGGAGATGAGACTGTGTGCGTGTTTGAGCACGGATCCAGCGAAGGCGGGTGCCCAGAGATCTGGCTGGCCACGGCCGCTGGAAGCTGAGCCATGAGCTCAGCTGGGCTCTGCATGTGATTGTTCTCCCACAGCTGTTCCAAGACGACCTGGTGGTGCTCTGGGCCTGCGCCGTGGACAAGTGTGAGTGTCCCCAGAACTGCCCTTCTCGGTACCGGGGGTCTGTTCTGACCCAAATCAGTTCTTCCCGTGTTCTTCCCTGGCCCAAATCAGTTTCAGTCGGGGTGGGTGGACTCCCAGGCAGTGCTCAGGGGGCCCAGTTATTCTCTGCCAGCCCGGCCTGTGGTTCCATGTGAGGGCCTGAGGGTGGGTCATGCCCCAGCCTGGTGGTGCCAGGGGCTCCCCAGGCCCTGATGGTGGTGATCTGGGGCTCCAGGGCCACTCCCACTCGTACTTTTTTTTTTTTTGGCAGGAGGTGAGGGGCAGGGGGATGGTTGGGCCGTACCCAGCAATGCTTACTCCAGGCTCTGTACGCAGAGATCACTGCTGGTAGTGCTCAGGGGACCACATGTGGGGCTGGGGGTTGAATGTCAGTGGGCCGTAAGGCAAGCTCCCTGCCCACTGGACCATCCCTCTGGTCCTTCAAATTAGGGTGGGTTTTTGTTGTTGTTCTGGGGCCACACCCAGTGGTGCTCAGGGACCATTACAGGAAACGGATCAAACGCGGGTCTGGAGCTTGCAAGGCAAGCCCCCTTCCCCCTACTCAAATCAGTATTAAGTGCTGTCTGGAGCTGCCAGGTGGCAATGGCCTGGAGGCACAGACGGCCAGAGGCAAGGGCCAGGCTTGGGGCCAGATCCATGACTCTTGAGCACTTGCTCTGCCGGGCATCGTGTTAAGTGCGCGCTAGTCCTCGCTGGGACCGGGGGTGGAGGCGGAGGGTCTTGCTGAGGCGGGAGAAGGGGGTGACCCGGCTGCCGGAGTTGTGCGTTTCGGGGCCCCAGTTCCTCTCCCTGGGAACGGGGTGGACGTGAGGCTCGCGAGGGGCCCCCTCCGGACGCCCCTCCTCTCCGGGCCCTTGCAGACGTGCACCAGCGCTGGGCCCTGGTGTGGCTGGCGTGCCTGCTGCTGGCGGCCGCGCTCTTCCTCCTCCTGCTCCTCCAGAAGGACACGGTGAAAGGTGGGTCGCGTGGGGGGCCCCGGGGGGCGCGGGCCGGGCCGGGCCGAGCTCACGGCCCCTCTCCCCCACCAGGGTGGCTGCGGCTCCTGCAGCTGGACGTCGGCGTGGGCGGTGAGTGCGAGCCCCCGGCGGGGCGGGGGGCCGCGTCCCGGCCCTCTGACCGCCCGCCTCCGCTCTGTCCGCAGGGGCCGGCCGCGCCCGCGCCGCGCTGCTGCTCTACTCGGCGGACGACGCGGGCTTCGAGCGCCTGGTGGGCGCGCTGGCGTCGGCGCTGCGCCAGCTGCGGCTGCGCGTGGCCGTGGACCTGTGGAGCCGGCGGGAGCTGGGCGCGCTGGGCCCGCTGGCCTGGACGCACGCGCGGCGGCGCCAGACGCTGCAGGAGGGCGGCCTGGTGGTGCTGCTCTTCTCGCCGGGCGCCGTGGCGCTGAGCCGCGAGTGGCTGCAGGGCGGGCCGCCGGGCGCCGTGGCCGCGCCGCAGGCCGCCTTCGCCGCGGCGCTCAGCTGCGTGCTGCCCGACTTCCTGCAGGGCCGCGCGGCCGGCCGCTACGTGGGCGCCTGCTTCGACGGGCTGCTGGCGCCCGCCGCCGTGCCCGCGCCCTTCCGCGCCGCGCCGCTCTTCGCGCTGCCCGCGCAGCTGCCCGCCTTCCTGGGCGCCCTGCTGGGCGCGGCGCGGCCCGGGCGGCTGCGGGCCAGCGCCGAGCTCGTGGCGCGGGCGCTGCGGCCCGCCCTGGACGGCTGCGTGCGCGCGCGCGGGGGCGCGGGCGCGGGCGGGGGCGCGGGCGAATAAAGGCGCCGCTGGTTCCCTACGCTCGGCTGCGGCGTCTCTCTGCGGGGGCCCCTCGCGCCGCGCGGGCCCTTTAACGCGCCGACAGGTGCAGCCGGCGCCGCCGCGGGTTGGCTGCCGCGCGGTGACGTCACGGCCCCGGGCCGCCGCCATTGGCTGCCGCGCGGGCCCCGCCCCCGGCCGCGCGCTGCGGAGGCCGCGGGGGCCGGCGCGGGCGGCGGCGACGTTGCGGGGAGGCCGGCGCCCGCGGCTGGGCCGGCTCGGTCCGCTCGGCTCCTGGGCGGTGCCTGCGCCGCCGCGGCTCTCGAACCTTCTCCCGGGCGCCGCCCCTCGGCGCCCGGCGCGGACCCCTTGGCCCCCGGGCCCTGCCGCCGCCGCCGCCCCGCGGGGCCGGGGATGCTGCCCCGCGCCCCGGGCCCCGCAGGCCGCGCCGCCGCCCTCGCCGCGTAGCGGCCGCTTCGTGGACCGCGCCGGCTCCGGGCCGCCGCCCCGGGGCCGCCCCGCCCGGCCCCGCCCGACGCCCCCGGCCCGGGCCGCGATGGCCCCGCCGTCCCCGCGGGCCCCGCTGCCCGCCCTGCTCTGCGGCCTGAGCCTGCTCCTCGGCCTCCCGGGGCCCGCGCGGCCGCAGCCCTCCGCGCTGCCCCAGCCGGCGCCCCCCGCCCCGCCGCACCCGTGTCACACCTGCCGGGGGCTGGTGGACAACTTCAACAAGGTGCGTGCGCCGCGGGGGGCGGGGGGCCCACTCCGGGCCGGACGCGCGGCCCCCGCCGCTGCGCCCCCCTGGGTTGTGCTCGGCTCTCGCTCATTTGGCTGCATTTCCAGGGTCTGGAGAGAACCATCCGGGACAATTTCGGAGGGGGCAACACCGCGTGGGAGGAGGAGAAACTGTCCAAGTACAAAGACAGGTGCGGGCTGTGCGCCTCTGCCCCGGGACGGGGTGGGCTGTGCCCCTCACCTGCGGGACAGGGGTGGGCTGCCTCACCTCCCAGACTCCGCCCGGCGCCCAGACACCTCCGGCCAGCTCTTCCTTGCCCAGGAACACCCCTGGATCGAGAATAGTGGGTGGGGCAGGCAGAAGATGACCTCCGAAGAGCCTAGAAGCCCCACGGCAGGAGGGTTTGAAGGGGTTTCCAGGGCTCAGGCACCTGCCTCGCTTGTGACCAGCTCTGGTTGGATCCGCGGAGGACTGTCAGGAGTGATCCCTGAGCACAGGACGGGGTGTGATTCCTGAGCTCTCCTGGGTGTGACCTCAACGTGATCCCACCCCCCCACACACCCCCAGTAAACCAGCGACAACACATGGCCTGGCAGCAGCTGGAGACAGCAGGTGGAATAGAGACGTCGGGGGTGTGGCCGTGTCTGGACCCTGCAGGCTGGAGCTGGGGGGGAGCTTTTGCAGAAGGGGCGCTCTGTGGGCCCGGGGCTGGGGCTGAGCCGCTGCTGGAGGGTTTGGGGGGCAGGGTGGGTTTACTGAAACATTCATGTGCTCAAACGGGCCCCGGAGCTGCACTCCACAGGAGCCGGGGGCAGGGACAGCAGGGGTGCAGCTGCAGCCTTGAGCTGTGGGTATGTCACGGCCCTGGCGAGAGGATATTTCTCAGGCGTGTGTTGTTTCCCAGAAAGACTGGCTGGGCCTCTGGAGTCATTGCTGGGGGCGCGACTAGGGTAAACAGTTAGTGACCGTTTGATTTGGGGACTGTGGTTGGCCTGCCACCTCTTTTTTTTTTTTCTTTTTGGGTCACACCCGGCGTTGCACAGGGCTTACTCCTGGCTCATGCACTCAGGAATCACTCCTGGCGGTGCTCGGGGGACCATGTGGGATGCTGGGAATCGAACCTGTACCGGCCATCTTGGCTGCATGCAAGGCAAACGCCCTACCCGTTGTGCTATCGCTCCAGCCCCTACCACTTGCTTTTAAGAAAAATTTTTTTCTTTTTTTTTTTTTTGCTTTTTGGGTCACAGTCGGCAATGCACAGGGATTACTCCTGGCTCTGCACTCAGGAATTACTCCTGGTGGTGCTCAGGGGACCATATGGGATGCTGGGAATCGAACCTGGGTTGGCCGCGTGCAAGGCAAACGCCCTACCCGCTGTGCTATCGCTCCAGCCACCTAAGAAAATTATTTTTAAGAACTAGCCCTCAGCAGCCTTGGGAATGTATCAGTCACAGCTTGGGGACCTGTCTTCTTTTCTGTTTATTTTATTTGGGGGCCACATCCAGCAGCGCTCAGGACCTACTTCTGCCTGGCTCTGTCCTCAAGAATCACTCCTGGTGGTGCGTGGGGGACACTGGGGGGTCCTGGGATTGAACCCAGGTGGGCCACATGCAAGGCAAGCGCCTTACCTACTGTTCTATGGTTTGGGCCTGAAGTTTGTCCTTTAAGAAAGACACAGAACCTCCCCCAACCCACCCACCGTCGATCGCACCTGAGGGTATTCCACCCTCCTGGAACTCCCAGCCCTAGGGAGGGGTATTGCCCACCTTGGGGAGCACTGGCGTAGGGGAAGGGTAGAATCAGGGCACTGTGCTCTCTTGATATCCGGGTGGATGGTTTGTTCTGGAGATGGGGGGACGAGGAAAAACTGCGCACGTGGACTTGGGCAGCGACAGCCTGTTTGGGTCCGGAAGGATGTGGGACCTATCCCCCCTGGCTCCGAATGGGAGGGAGGACTCAGCACTGCTAGGTGCTTCCGTGCTGTGGGTCAGTCCTGGCCCTTGAGAGCCTGGGGGAGAATCACTGAGCTGCTCTGAGCCTGGGTTTCCTTGCCTGTAAGCTGGGGGTATTGGTACCTTGTGTTGCCTCTTGGGTCAGGATTGAACTCTGGCCCCGTGGCTTTGTGTGTCCGGCATTTTGCACCGAGCACTGTGTTTTCAAGATCACATCGTTTGCCGCTTGGCACAACTCCCTTCTTTCGGCAGTAATTCTCGGTTGTACGGATCTGCTGCTTTCTGTTCGTTGTTTGGGTCTTGGGTCAACACCCAGCAGTGCCCAGGGTCTGGGTGGGGCTCAGGGGACCATCTGTGGTGCTAGGTCAGCTGTGTGCCGAGCAGGTGCCTTGGCCCTTGGACCCTGTACTGTCCAGCCCTGGGTTTTTTGGGGGGCGGGCCACACCAGCAGTGCTCAGGGCTCACTCCTGGTTCTGTGCTCAGGGATCACTTAGTGGACTTGGGGGCCCGTGGAGTGCCAAGGATGGACCCCTGGTCCGCCTTATGCAAGGCACGCGCCCTCCCCCCTGGACTGTCTCTCCAGCCCCCAGCCTGACTTTCTGTCTCTAATCCCCTGTTGAAGGACGTTGGGATCCTCTCTTCCTTTGGCGGCTGGGGAGCGCTCCGCTACTGAACGTTGGTGTCGAGTTCTTGCTTGCGCACCTGTTCCGCTCCGTGGGGTGCCTGCCCGGCATGGCAGGTCGGGGCCTGGGTGAGGGCCTGTGACCCGGGCACGCCAGGCTCCTTCTGCCCCACACGCCACCTGCCGTCCTGTTATTTATAGACGAGAAGTGCCGTGTCTGTGCGCCATCGTGATTGATGGATCTATAGAGAAGTGTGTGTGTTTGGATTGGGCCCACCAGAGGTGCTGGGGGCTACTCCCCCTCTCTGCTCGGCGTCACTCGCAGCAGTGCTGGAGAGCCCCTGGGCCTCCCGAGGCGAAACCTGCCCTCAGTTGCTCAACCCACCTTCTTTTTTTTTTTTCTTTTTCGGGTCACACCTGGCGATGCACAGGGCTTACTCCTGGCACTGCACTCAGGGGACCATATGGGATGCTGGGAATCGAACCCGGGTCGGCCGCGTGCAAGGCAAACGCCCTACCCGCTGTGCTGTCTCTCTAGTCCCCTCAACCCACCTTTTGCATTTTCATGGCATCCACCCTGCAGGGTTCCCTAGTCCCAAGCAGCCCTGGGAGCCGAGGGCCGGGCAGCCTGCGATGGGGCCCAGAGGGAGGGTCGCTGCTTAACACGTGGGTGAACCCGCACACAGGGCCACGCGCTCAGGGTCCAACAGCTAGACACGGCTTGGTCTGCCTGACCCTGAGCCGGCACCCCGTCTTGGATGCCCCCCCGCCTCTGCTGAATCTCTCTGGGTGACGTGTGTCCCTGTGCCCCCTCATGCCAGTGAGACCCGCCTGGTGGAGGTGCTGGAGGGCGTCTGCAGCAAGTCGGACTTCGAGTGCCACCGCCTGCTGGAGCAGAGCGAGGAGCTGGTGGAGAGCTGGTGGTTCCACAAGTGAGAGGGGCCCAGGGCACGCAGGGGGCATCCCGGGGGGACATGGGGCCAGGGTCATGCATGGGGTATCCTGGGGGGATGAGGGCCAGGGTCATGCATGGGGCATCCCGGAAGGACACAGAACCGGCGTCTTGGGGGTCCACGGGGGCATGCATGGCTGGCGGGGCTTGGCTTGGCTTCGGGGCCTTGCTGGGGGGCCCCAGTCCTGTGTTCGGCAGGAGGGCAGGGAATTGGGTGGCTTCTACAGAGCGTGGGCAGGGCTCCGACTGAGGTCCCAGTGCCACCCCTACCCCCCAGGCAGCAGGAAGCCCCGGACCTCCTTCAGTGGCTCTGCTCCGACTCCCTGAAGCTTTGCTGCCCCCCTGGCACCTTCGGACCGTCATGCCTGCGTGAGTGTTTGAGGGCCCTGGCGGGTGGGAGGGCTGGGCCCCCTGCGTGACCCTGCAGCCCCTACCCTGGACCGGCCCACGGAGCTAAGTCCCGGCTCGGCGCGGCCCCTGCCCACCTGGCGCGGTATCGCCCACAGCCTGTCCAGGGGGTGTCGAGAAGCCTTGTGGCGGCTACGGGCAGTGTGAAGGCGAAGGGACTCGCGGGGGCAGTGGGCGCTGCATGTGCCGGCCCGGCTACGGAGGCGAGGCCTGTGGCCAATGCGGCCCTGGCTACTTCGAGGCGATGCGGAACGCCAGCCAGCTGGTGTGTTCGGGTAGGTCGTGGGACGGCCGGGAGCCAGGGGGGGAGGGGTCTCACTGCCCCTCCTCATCATCCTCATCCCCCGCAGCCTGCTTCGGCCCCTGTGCTCGCTGCTCGGGGCCCGACGAGTCACACTGTCTGCAGTGCAGGAAGGGCTGGGCCCTGCACAACCTGAAGTGTGTGGGTGAGTGAGCGTCCGGGCGGGGGGCTCGGGGCATGGGACTGGGAGGGCCCCCATTCCCTCCACCCGCACTGCCGTGTGCAGCCCGTGCTGTCCCGGATCCAGCTCCATGCAGTGTGGAGTCAGGAGGGCTTCTAGGAGGAAGTGTCAGGGTCACACGCCTCAGAGCCACGTCTTGAGACTTAACGCAAGGTCAGCCAGCGGGGTTGAGGTTATGGAACATGTGATCCAAAGGCCCCTGGCCTGGGAACTCGGTCCCTGCCGAGGTGCCTCTGTAGATGGAAGGCGGGGCTGCTGTGACAGAAGGTCCCACGAGGATCGCGGGTCACTGCGTGCGTGACGCCTGAGTTCGATCCCTGCCACTGTATATAGTTCCTCGGACATTGCCGGGAGTGGCCCCGGGGCAGTGCTGGCAATGCAACCAACCAAGAACCCCAAAAGAGAGGGATTGGGGCAGTGGGCTGGAGCGTGCGCCCTGCCTGTGTGTGCGGAGCCTTGGTCTGCCCAAGTACAGAAAGGCGTGCCCCAGAGCACTGTCTGGCGGGTCTGACCCCTGAGTACCTGCAGATGCTATCCCCCACCTCGAGGAAAGAGGGTTTGTGCGTCTCTCATCCCAGACTGTCCCGGCACTGCAGGGGGCCGGGCCCTGTGCTGTCCTCTCAACTGTCTTCCCGCCTCATGTGCAGTGTGTGGTCGAGGCTGGAGCCTCCCTGACTCTGGGACATGAGGAAGGGACCGGAGGATAGCACAGCGAGGAGGGTGTTTGTCTTGCACGGCCAGCCCAGGTTCAGTCTGCAGGTCCCAGGTGATCCCCGTGCACTGCCAGGAGTGACCCCTGTACACCTCCAGATGTGGCCCAAAACCCACAAAAAATAAAAAGGAGCCACGAGGAGGCCCAAGCAGGGGGTGGCTCCAGGCGGGGGACGTGGCACTTGGCACTGCGGGAGGGAACCCCCGGGCAGCTCTGCACCTCCAGCTGCAGCCCGGGGCGTGGACAGGCACTGAGCGCTGCCCTTGGTCTCTGCAGACATTGACGAGTGCGGCACGGAGCGGGCCAGCTGCGGCGCCAACCAGTTCTGCGTGAACACGGAGGGCTCCTATGAGTGCCGGGGTGAGTGGCCCGTGGGCGGGTGGGCGCCGCCTTCCTGTCCTTGGTGTCTGCCTCTCACCCCATTCCCCGTCCCTGCAGACTGTGCCAAGGCCTGTGTGGGCTGCATGGGTGCCGGCCCAGGCCGATGCAAGAAGTGCAGCCGCGGCTACCAGCAAGTGGGCTCCAAGTGCCTGGGTGAGCGCGTGCCCCGCCCTGGCCCCTCGGGGTCCCGGCCGGCAGGGGTGGGGGCAGGATCCCCGGGTGAGGGGCAGGATGTGGGGGGGGTGGGGTGGCCCTGGCCAGGGCTCTGACTTCCGTCCCCTACGCCCAGATGTGGACGAGTGTGCCACGGAGGTGTGCCCCGGAGAGCAGGAGCAGTGTGAGAACACGGAGGGCAGCTACCGCTGCGTCTGCGTCGCGGGCTACAAGCAGGTGGACGGCGTCTGTGTGCAGGAGCAGGTCCCCGGTGCGTCCCTCCAGCTGTCCCGAGCCTTGTCTCCTGTCCTTCGGGACCTGCCCATGAACGACACGGCACCTGGGCACACAAGCCCGCCCGCCGTCCCTTGTGTGTGCCCACTTACACCCTGGAGCACCCCCCCCTTCCCAGGGGTGCCACCGCATCCCAAGCTTGTGGCCAGCAGGGGGCAGTGTGGAGCTTGTGCGTGTGCCCCCCCCCCCCCCCCCCAGCCCCCAGCCTCAGTCTCCCTGGCAGCTGCCCTCGGCCTCACGGCCCCCTGTGCCCCCAGAGTCGGCGGGCTTCTTCTCCGAGATGACGGAGGACGAGCTGGTGGTGCTGCAGCAGATGTTCTTCGGCGTCATCATCTGCGCGCTGGCCACGCTGGCCGCCAAGGGCGACCTGGTCTTCACGGCCATCTTCATCGGGGCGGTGGCGGCCATGACCGGCTACTGGCTGTCGGAGCGCAGCGACCGCGTGCTGGAGGGCTTCATCAAGGGCAGGTAGTGCTTGCGCCCTGCACGCGGCACCCCTGCCCCTTCCGGCAAGGGCCCCGAGTACAAGTGGCCTGACAGTGGATGCTGGAGACAGTGGCCTGGAAGGAGGGCGGGTGGCACCAGGCGGGCCGAGGGTCAGAGGCCTTCTTGGGGTGGCCCCGGCCGGAGTGGTCCCTGTGGCGGGGAGGGAGGCTTGCCCCGGCCCCTTCATTCTCTGTCCCCTGCCCTGACACCGGTTAATTTATTCATCTCAGGAAATAAAGGTCTGGAAAGCTGAGGTGCTGTGGTGTGACTCCTACCCCCGGGGATGGGAGGGCTGAGCTCCTTGGAGCCTCATTGATCGTGGGGACATTTCCTAAAGCCCTGAGGAATGGGGGCTACCCTGAGGGGGAAGGGGGATATGGGAGAGGCTTGGCCCTGAGGCTGTTCGCTGGAGGGCAGGACTGGGCATCCATGACCAGGGACCCTGGACAGACCACCTTCCTCTCTGAATTTCTCGGGCCTGGTCTAAAACTGGGCGCAGGGCCCACCTGGCTTGGTCGCTGGTGCCCTTTGCATCCCTGGCGCTGCTTGGGGGCCCCCGGGCACCGCCAGGAGTGAGACCTGAGCACAGAAGACCTGACCCGTGCGGCCCAAGAAACGACGAATAAAAGCGGGCGCGTGAGCCAGAGAGACACTTGGCAGGGGCTGGGCGCGGCCTGGGGCGGGGAGGCCCCGTCGGGCAGGGCAGGCCTTTGTCGCGAGCGAGCGAGGAGGGCGCAGGGGTGCGGCCGCACGCAGCGAGGCGCGAACCACGTCCAAAGGGTTTATTTCTTTGGCACAGGAGGGCAGCGGGTCCGGACAAACGAGCCCCCCCGCCCGCCCGCCCCGCCGGGCCCTCCTCCACGCCCCCTTCCCGCGGCCCACCCGCGGCCCGTGCGCGTCACGGCCTCCGCGCGAAGCAGCCCCTGCAAAAAATAGACAAATTTCTTCTGTCTTAGAAAACGGGCCCCGCCGGGGCGGCGCTCAGAGCTCGATGGTGTCGCTGGACGCGCTGCGCGAGTCCCCGGGCGCGGCGCGGGCCGGGCGCTCCCGGGGCGGCGCGGGCGGCGCGGCGGGCGGCGCGGGCAGCAGGCGCGCGCTGCTGGGCGGCGCGTCCAGGGCCAGGCTGTCGGCCGACGAGAGCCCGTGGCGCCAGGGGTTCCAGCTGATGTGCAGCGAGCCGCGCGAGCCGCTGTCCGGGGAGCCGGCCGAGGCGGCGGCGGCGGCGGCGTTGGGCGCGCGCACGTCGCCCAGCGAGCGGCAGCGGGCGCGCGGCGGCGGCGGCGGCGGCGGCGGGGCGGGCGCGCCGTCGGGGCGGTCGGGGCGGTCGGGGTGGCTGCCCCGGCGCGGCCGCAGCGCGCCCCCGGGCGGGGAGGAGGCCAGGCCGCGGCGGCGGAAGACGCTGTCGCGCACCAGGTGCTCGCGGAAGAGCGCCGCGTCGATGCTGCGGCTCAGGTTGATGGGCGACGGCGGGCGCAGGTCCAGCTCGCTCAGCGACGGCGCGGGCCCCCCGCTGCTGCGGGACAGCGCCGCGGCCGAGCCCCAGGCGCCCGGGCTGGCCGGCCCCAGCTCGGCCGCGTTGCGGATGAGGCTCTTGCCCAGCTCCAGGCCGCCCGCGCCCGCGCCCGCGCCGCCGGGCCCCGCGTAGTTGGGCCCCCAGTTGTTGGGGCGCTCGGGCACCTCGCTCTTGCCCGCCGGGGCCGGGCACGCCAGGCGGAGCAGCTTGGCCCAGCAGGCGTGCTCGGTGGGCGGCCGGGGCCGCGCGGCGGCCACCGCGGCCAGCGCCAGCGCCAGCGCCCACGTCAGCTCCAGCAGCCGCAGCCAGAAGTGGACGCCCCACCAGGCCCACGAGAAGCGGCCCACGCGCCCGGGGCCCGGGTACAGCCAGAGCGCGGCGGCCAGCTGCAGCCCGCAGGCCAGCAGCCCCAGCGAGCCGGCCACGGCCAGCAGCCGCGGGCCCGGGCGCGCGTCCCAGGCGCGGGGCCCGGCCAGCAGGCGCCGCCGGCACAGGCACAGCGTGCCCAGGGCCACGGCGGCGCCCCACGCGCACGAGACGCCCTGCGCCACGAGGCTGAGCGCCGGCCGCGCGGACAGCAGGTCGGCGGCCAGCAGGACGGCGCCGTGCGCCGCGGCCAGCGCCGCCAGCAGCAGCGGCCTCTGCAGCGGCCGCGGCAGCCCCGCGCCCAGGCCCAGCTGGGCCAGCGCGCCCAGCGCGGCCACCAGCAGCGGGAAGGGCAGGTTGTAGAGCACCAGGCCGGCCCGCGCGCCCAGCCGCGCCCGCGAGCCGTAGGGGTCGGCCAGCATGTAGGCCGCGCGCAGCGCCCCGGCCCCCAGCACCAGCGCGGCCGCCGCCAGCGCGGGCCGCGGGCCCCCCGGCGCGGCCGCCAGCGTGGCCAGCGCCAGCAGGGCGGGGAGCAGGAAGAGCACCCCCGCCCCGTAGACGTGCAGCTCCCAGGCGAAGCTCAGCACGCGCCGCAGGGGCCCCCAGCGCAGCGGCGGCGCCGTGGCGTTGGCCGGCGGGCTGGACACCGGCACGGGGGCCGTGGGGCTGGCCGACGGCTCCGGGGGGCCCGGCTGGCCCAGGGCGCGCTGCGTCGTGACTCGGATGAGGCCCCGGCGGGACGTGGAAGGCGCCTGGACCGGGGGTGCCGGCGGGTGACTCTGGGGCCGTCGGGGCCACTCCTCCGCGTCATCTGCAGGGACACCCGAGCAGCCCGGTGGAGCGGCCGCCGCCCTCGCGTCCTGCGCGCGCCCGGGGCACGCTCGCTTCTTTCCCGGACCCGGGGCCGGGTGGGCTGCAGTCCCCGCCCGCGGGTGCCACGCGGGGAACCTCCGGTTACTAACAGCACACCCGCCCGCCCGCTGAGTCAGAATTCCTTGGGTGCACATGTGCTCCGTGGGCAGAGGACCCGCACTGAGCGAGCGTGCCCAGTGGGGGGAACACCCGGCCCGCACAGAGAATCAACCCTCAGAACCCCACCCCAATGGGAAATCAGTGCCCTGCGACCCCCTCTCGGGCTCCACAGGGAATCAGTGCCCTCAGACACCCCAAGCCCCCTGCCCCCACCCCACGGGAATCAGTGCCCTGCGACCCCCCCAGACCCCTCCCCCCATGGAGAATCAGTGTGCTGACACTCTACCCCACCCCATGGGGAATCAGTGCCCCCTGACCCCCCCCACCCCCCGCCAGCACCCTGTCGCGCCCCCACCTGGATGCAGAGCCTCTTGAGGACTGTCTGTTCGGTTGGGCGCTGGGCCAGGGTCCGGCAGGCCAGGGATGAGAGACTTAGGGGTCCCTGGACTCCCCACCGCCCCTCGCACCCGCTGCGGGGAGATGGGGTCCGCACCGTTCTCGGCCACTTCTGAAAGGACACGTGTGCTCATGGCCTGCCCTGCCAGCCAGTCCCCGGGGGACAGGAGGTCACTCAGAAACTGGGGCACCCTCCCGCTGGCCCGGAACAGCCCAGCCCTGTCCCCGTGACACTCACCTGGCGCCTCAGGTCTCTCTGCGGCAGGGGGACCCCTGGCATCAGCCTGCTGGGATGGGGGGCTTGGGGAACTCTCTCCCACACCCCCATCCTTCCTGGGGGGCTCGGCTGGTGGCCCCTGAGCGGGAGGGCGGCTTCCGGCCACGGCCAGGTCTGGCTGGGCCTCGGGCTCTGGAGAGGACCCCGCTTCAGCTGGGGACACAGGGCCCCCCTCAGGGGCTGCCGAGCCCTGCTGGGTGAGAGGGGGTCCCCGAGCCACCTCGTGGAAGGTCTCACCACCCCGAGCCTCCAGCGGGGGGCTCCTGGTAGTGCCCAAGGGGGTGCCGGGAGGGTGGGGAGGGCCCTGGGGGCCCCCTGGGGGTGCTTCGGGGGCCCTGGTCCCGGCTCCCCCTGACACACCCTCATCACTAGGTGGCTGCAGGCCTGCAGGCGCCTCTGGGGACGGGGGAGCTGCGGCCCCCCCAAGCTGGGCTGTGGGGGCTGTGGGGAGGAGAGTGAGCTGGGGGGGTGCCCCTGGGGCTTCTGGCTCTGGAGGCTCCTGGGAGCCTGGTGGGCCTGTCCAGCCTGGAGAGCTTGGCCCTTGGACCAACTGCAGGCTGTCAGTCACCCCTGGTCCTTCCCGGGGAGCCCCCGGGGCAGCTCTCGGTCCCTGTAGGGCTGGGCCCAGGGGCAGCTCTCCAGCGGGGATGGGGGGCACGGCAGAGTCCCAGGGGGCCCCATCTCTGGGCCTGTCCTGGAAGTCGGAGGCCCAGGGCGGGGCGCCCACGATCACATGTGGTTCCGAGTCGTCGAGGGGTCTGGGCAGCTCCCGGCCCTGCGTGGGGCTGGCCCCCAGCGCCCACAGCAGGAACAGCAGCAGCAGCAGGCCAGGCGCGGGCTCCCCGCCGTGGGCCACCATGGTCTGCTCTCGTCCTCACCCAGCGGCCTACGGGAGAGGGGCCAGGTGAGGGCGGCGGCAAGGAGGGGATTAGCGCAGGGGCCGAGGGATGATGGGGATGAGATCCAGAGGTGGCCTCCGTCCCAGTCCTGAGGAGGCATGGGACTGCCACTCCCAGCACGGTGGCTTCATGAGGCAGAGCCGCCCGTGTAGAAAGCCAGGAAGACAGGGTGGCAGCTTGTCTCGCTCGGCTGTGCTTCCTCCTCCAGGAAGTCTTCTATCCTTAAGCTCCCCTCCCCATCTCCCCGAAAACAAAATGTCTCTCCCACCGGCCTGGGGCACAGCTGGGTTCCCCATCCCCACCCCATCTCTCCTGATCTTAGAGCCCCTCCGTGGAGGCAGACACAGGAAGGGACACGCTGTGTCCAGGGGCTCTTTGATGCTCTGCATCTGGCCCCTGCACGTGTGGGCCCCCAGGAGGCCTCGGTTCTGCAGGGGGGTATTGGGAGAGCCGAGGGGCAGAACTGAACGACCCCAGCAGGCCCGGAGCTCAGGAGCTAACCTCAGTGGCCTGTTCGCCAGCTCATGCCAACACAGCAGGTGTGGGCAGACCCACTTCACGGGGGAGAAAACTGAGGTTCAGAGAGGCTGGGCGACTGGCCCAAGGTCACACAGCCAACCGGCACGTGGCCACGGTGGGGGTAACAGTGACTCAGTTTGCGGGGCGGGGGTCCACCCGGCTCTGCAGGGCCCGCGGCGGCGGAGCGGGGCCCTGATGGACGCCTGCCATCTGCTCTCCACCCCACGCCGCGGGCCGCGGGGGCTGCGCTGCCCCTCCCGGCTGGGCGCAGGCCTCGGCGGGGCCAGCCCGGGCCGGGGCAGGGGCCGCGGCGGCGCCTCCGCGCGGCCCCTCTCGGGCTACCTGCCCCCGCCGTCCCCGCGGCCCTGGCCCGGCGCCGGCCCGCAGTGCCCGCCCGGGGGCCCGCCGCGGCCCCGCGCCTCGCGCGCCCCGCCCGCCCGGGGGCTCCGGCCCCCGCCCGCGCGCCCCTTCCCCGGCCGCGGCTCACCTGGGCGCCCGCCCGCAGCCCGCGTTCACCTTGCGCGTCCCCGCAGCCGCGCGCTGCGCCGCCGCCGCCGCATCCTCCCAGATGCTCGGGTTCCGCCAACCGAGCCGGCGCCGCCGCTCCGAGCCCGCCCACCGCGCCCGCCCTTAACCCTTTCCCGCGGCGGGGCTCTCCCGGCCCGAAGGGAACCGACCGCCTCCGGGGCAGGTGGAACTTTTCTTCCACAGCAGCTTGGCCAGCGTACCCCCCACCCCCACCCCGACAGGAAGCCCACTTCTTCTTACGCCTGTACCTGTATCCCCTAAGGATCTGTCCATCCATCCTCCCACCCTCTGCCCATCACTTCAGCCTCCTACCCACTCATCCACCTGTCCATCCGTCTTTCCACCCACCCACCCATCCATCCATCCATCCATCCATCCATCCACCCACCCACCCACCCACTCACTCATCCATCCGTCCACTCATCCACCTGTCCACCCATCCATCCGTCCATCCACCCACCCACCCACCCATCCAGCCATCCACTCACCCATCCATTTATCCTCCCAGCCACCCACTGCCCGTCCACCCATCCGTCATCTAGTGGTGAGCACTTACTCACAGCTTGCTGAGCCAGATCTTTTTCAAGCCACAGTCACGTAATTTAAATAGAAATGAGATCACACTGCACATGGGTTCTGTCACTTCCTTCCCCCACCCTGACTCTGCAGCGTGTCTTGGCATGGACCTACTGTTCAGAACAGCAGCACGTGTGGGCAGCTGGTCACTTTTACACAGGCTCTGGGGGCGGGGAATGGGAAAGACACGCAGGTGCTTCCTGCCCCCTCACAGCTGCAATGGTTAGCAGGGGACCTTCCTCTAGAGAATTCCATACCTGCCCCTGTCCCAGGTACCATGCACTCTAGTTAGGCTTTGATAACTCCATCCAAACAGTCCTCTCTGGACAGCTCCTGACCTACGAATAATTACCCAACATTAGCTGCAACACTGCTAATGATTTTACTAAAGAACTATACTCACGGGGCTGGAGTGATAGCACAGCGGGTAGTGCGTTTGCCTTGCACGCAGCCAACCCGGGTTCGATTCCCAGCATCCCATATGGTCCCCTGAGCACCGCCAGGAGTAATAAGCCAGGAGTAACCCCTGAGCATCGCCGGGTGTGACGCAAAAAGAAAAAAGAAAAAAAAAAAAGGAAGGTTATTGGTACCATGGGTAGGGCTTCTTTTGCCTTGCACGTGGCTCATCCGGGTTCAATCCCCAACATCCCATGTGGTCAGCCCGTCAGGAGAAATTCCTGAGTACAGAGCCAGGAATCAGCCCTGAACACCACCAGGTATGGCCCCCAAACAAAATCCTCATAAGGATTCCATGTGGTCATTTAAAAGTATGTTACCTGACCCAGGTTCCATGGCCCCCACCCCATTTAGTTCCCAGAGCACCGCCTGGAGTGATTGCTGAGTGCAGAGCCAGCAGTAACCCCTGAACATTGCTGGGTACGACTCCAAAACAAAAAGAGATGTTAGATTCTGGTCAATTGACTTAAATTTCAATTGTCAAAATTATTAAAGTAAATCTCGCCCGCATGGCAAAGCCTGGCAAGCTCCCCATGGCGTATTCGATGTGCTAAACAGTAACAAGAAGTCTCATGATGGAGATGTTACTGGGCCCCTTCGAGCAAATTGATGAACAACGGGAGGACCGGACCGTAACCGTGACCATTAAAGTAAATGCATGCCAATTGTCCCGATCCAAACGACAAGTTTGTTTGGTGAAAAGCAGTTCTTTTTTGAAGAACTTGGTGACTGGATTACCCTGGACTGTCCATCTCTGTCCCCCACGATGGACCCACTGTGAACACCATATTGTATCCTTGGCTTACAAGAACATCTTCGTAAGGGCCGGCAGTGTGGCTCAGTGGTAGAGCACTGGCCTCAGCTGTGTGAGCAGACCCGGGGTTCGAGTTCTAGCACCATTGCTCGCTTGGCCCTCTGAGCACCGCCAGGTGTGACTGCCAAGTACGAAGCCGAGAGTCTTCCTGAGCACAGTGCTGCGGCCCCAACCTTCTGCTTCCTGCTGCTTTTCCTTTCACAGACACGATCATGCAGTGCCCGGGAACTTCCACTTTGCTTTCTTTGGGGCCATCTGGCTTGGCTGCGTTTGGAAGGCGACTGCTCTGGGCTCCACCTGGCCTGTTCCAGTGTTCACAGTGTGGCTCTGCATTGCCACGACAGGGTCCCGTTGGGTCTTCCTTGGACATCACATGGCCAGGTGTGACCCCCCGCCTGAAACCTCCTTGTCCAATTCCTGCTCTATTCCTGCTGATGTGGAATCTGGTGTTTCCAGCTATTTTTTTTTTTTTTAGAAATTTCACTTCGATAAACATCCTTTCTCTCGGAGAGCCCGGCAAGCTACCGAGAGTATTCGATATGCCAGACACAGTAACAACAAAGTCTCCAATGGAGACGTTACTGGGCCCGCTCGAGCAAATCGACGATCAACGGGAGGGCCTTTACCTTTTACCTTTACCTTACGCCAGCACACATATCTTCATGTGTTGATACCCTAAATTGTCACAATTTTCCATTTCTGTTACTCTCTGTGTCTCTGTGTCCCTAGGCACTTACCTAGTATCTCTGTATCTGTGTCTGTAGCGATGTACCTGTCTGCCTGCCTGTTATATCTATAGATTTCTGTGTATCTCTATGCACTATGCATATATCTGTGCACCACTATAAATGTATCTATGTATCCGTGTGTCCCTGTGTGTATACATATATCTATATCTATGTATCTATCCATGTGCCTCTGTATTTTGTGTCTATGTATATGTGTTTTTATGTGTGTTCATATCTATTTATCACCTGTTTATACTGTCCTTAAATATTAAGAAGTAGGGGCTGAAGTGATAGCACAGCGGGTAGGGCGTTTGCCTTGCACTTGACCGACCCTGGTTTGATTCCCCATATCCTATATGGTCCCCCGAGCACCGCCAGGAGTAATTCCTGAGTGAAGAGCCAGGAGTAACCCCTGTGCATCACTGGGTGTGACCCAAAAAGAAAAAATAAGTAAATAAATAAATATTAAGAAGTAAACAGTGGTTCATGTAGTGTGTGTGTGTGTGTGTGTGTGTGTGTGTGTGTGTGTGTGTGTGGTCAATTCAGCAATACTCATGGCTTACTCCTGGCTCCAGTATCAACTGATAGGGCTTGGGGAACCATGGAAGATTCTGGGCATGTGCAAGGCAATTGAGCCCAAGCCAACCACGTGCAAGATAATTGCCTTATCTGCAGCATTAGCTCCCTGGCCCCAAGCTCATGTAATATTTATTTATTTTTATTTATTTGCCACATCCCACGGTGCTCAGAGCTTACTCCTGACTCTGCACGCAGGAAATCATTCCTGGAAGTGCTTAGGGGGCCATACGAGGTACTGGGGATTGAAGCCAGGTACTGCTGCATGCGAGGAAATGCCCTGCCCGCTGTACTAACTCTCCAGCCTCAGTATGTGTGATTTTTGGTTTTGGGCCACACCCAGGGGTGCTCAGGGATCACTTCTGCCAGGGCTTGGGGGACCATATGGGAAGCTGGGATCAAACCCAGTTGGCCAAGTGCAAGGGCAGTGGCGCCCTACTTGCTGTACTATCTCTCTGACCTCTCATGTATTTTTTTTGTTTTGTTTTGTTTTTTGGTGGCACCTGGCGATGTTCAGGACTTACTCCTGGCTCTGCGTTCAGGAATTACTCCTCTTGGGACTTGTGAGGTGCATGGGATGCTGGGGATCAAACCCAGGCCAGCCGTGTGCAAGGCAAGTGCTCTTCCCATTGTACTGTCCTCCGGTCTCTTTTTAAAAAATCTGAGCCAGAGCGATAGTGTATCCGGTTGGGCATCTGCCTTGCCCGCAGCCAATCCAGGTTCGATCCCTGGCATCCCACAAGCACTGCCAGGAGTAATTCCTGAATGCAGAGTCAGAAGTACCCCCTGAGCACTGTCAGGTGTGATGCCCCATTTTTCAACATCTAATTTTGATCTTGTTTCACTTTGTCTTTGGGATCACACAGGTGCTGCCCAGGAGCTCTCCTGGTCCCACAGTGCTCAGGACCGTGTGATTCCAGGGTCTGAACCTGGGTCTCCTCATGCCAAGCCTGTGCTCCAGCTTGTGATATTTGTGGCATTGGCTCTCCAGGCCGTAATTTTTATTTATTTATTTTTTGGGCTTTTTGGGTCACACCCGGTGATGTACAGGGGTTACTTCTGGCTCTGCACTCAGGAATTACCCCTGCCGGCGCTCAGGGGGCCATATGGGATGCTGGGAATCGAACCTGGGTCGGCCGCCTGCAAGGCAAACGCCCTACCCACTGTGCTATTGCCCCCGCCCCCAGGCTGTAATTTTAAAAGTTATTTATTATTGTTTATTTGGTCTATGCCCAGTGCTTAGGGATGACTCCCAGCTCGGTGCTCAGGGATCACTCCTGAAGGGCTCAGGGGGACTATATGCAGTGCCAGAGATTGAAGCCAGGTCGGCTACCTGCAAGGCAAGCACCTGCCCTGCTGTACTATTGGTCCGGCCCCATCCAGCCCCTAAGTTTGATTTTTTCTATGAAGATCCATGTTTTATACGACAGAGATACCACAGGTGTCATTTGAATAGAAAGCCTGCCCTAGGGACTGGCAGGGACTCTCCCTGGTTGAGCTTCCCGTCCTGCGTGTCTACAGCTCACGGGGTTCAGCCCCGACACTGCTTAGACCCCAAGCAACACCCCAGAGCACTAGTGAAACCCAAAAATAAAACAGAACCTGGGCCAGAGCAATAGGACGGCAGGGAAGTTGCCTCCAAGTCAGAAGCTGGCGACTGGCCGGCTTCAGATGCTTCCCCATCCTGCGTGTCCACTGACACCTTGCAGGGGAAGGCCCCGTCCCTCTGAGCTGGCTTGCATGACTGGAACCAGCTTCCTTTTTTTCATGTTTGAAACTTTATTTAAACACCATGGTTTATACAGTTGTTGGCAATGCGGTTGTTTCAGGCAGTGTTTCAACCCCACTCCCACCACCAGTGTGATCTTCCACTATTGTCCCGTTTCCCACCCACCTCACCAGTCTGTTCCTTTAACAGGCACAAAATAATTTACTTTAAGTGCCTATTAGAATGGTAAATGGAATTCAAAAAAATAAAGTTCTTAAAGAAAAGTTGTAAAAATTGTTCCATCTCACAAGCGTCACTTACCATCATGGCCCATCATGGCTGAGCTGGTTGGTGAGGGCTGAGCGTGTCACTGAGCTCGGTGGGCTTCCATGTGACTCTCCCGTCTGCTTTGCTGTGTTCCCACTGGGCTGTCAGGATTGTGAGATTTGGAGGCGTCGCGCAGCTGTCTGAAGCCGGCCAGTCGCCAGCTTCTGACTTGGAGGCCAGAGGGGGGTCAAACGTGGCTCAGCTGCAGCCCAGGCAGGCGTCTTCCCTGCCGTCCTATTGCTCTGGCCCAGGTTCTGTTTTATTTTTGGGTTTCACTAGTGCTCTGGGGTGTTGCTTGGGGTCTATGCGGTGTCCAGGCTGAACCCTGGGCCTCCAGCATGCATACCTTGCCATCATCTCCCCAAACTGTGCGTTTTTATTTTTTGTTTTTTGGGGGGCCACACCTGGCAGTGCTTGGGGGACCATATGTGGTACAGGGGATTGAACCCGGGTCGGTTTCATACAAGGCAAATGCTGTCCCTGTCGCTCCAGCCCAGCCCGTGTGCTGAGTGCTTCTTTGGCTTCTGGTCCTGGTAGTCTGTGCCCGATTTCTGTCCGTTAATTGGTTTGGGCCACCCCCAGCAGTGCTCAGGGCTCACTGCAGACTCTGCACACAGGGAACACTCTGGGGGACTGTATGAGGTGCTGGGGCTCCGTAACTCCAGCCCCCCCCCCCCCCTACCTGCTGTCCGATCACTCCAGCCACTGCAGGCACATTCTGTCCGCCAGCAGCCAGCTGCAGGATCCCGGCAAAAGGGGGGAGTGCGATTTACAGCGAGTGCCCTGGGCACGTGTGTGTGCGTGGCCAGCGCATGGGGCAGACATCAGAGCAAGGGGGAGGCTTCCCGGCTGCTATGCACGCTGGGACCGACGTAGGAATGTTTCACTGACCAGTTTTATGGTCTTGGAGGGGCAGATACAGAAGCCGCATCTAAATCCGCCTGTGGTTCCAGCAGGGAGGCTGGGGCTGGAGTCCAGGTCGGGAGAGCCAGTCAGGAGGGCAGGGGAGGCCCCAAGGGCCCTCATTCTGCTGCTCCCCCCCACCCCCGGTTGGCAGGCTGGATGGACCACCGAGAGGGACCAGGATCTGGGGCTTCTGCTCCCTCCCTGCAGTGAATGAACTGCAGGTCATGAGTGTCATCGTAGGTAAGTAAGTGTCATGGCCATCATCGGCTATCAGCCCCTCCCCCTCTCCTCCTGGCCCTGCATTTCCTGTTCTGGACATTTCCTCCACAGCAGGACTATCCAAACTATTGGCACTTTCAGTTAACATGTGTCACAGCGTCACCCACCCACGACCTTTCTGTGGTAGGGTCAGACTTACTCTGGGCTCTGTCCTTAGGGGTCATTCCCAGCGGGGCCTGAACTCAGGTTGGATGCATGCGAGGCCAGTGCCACCTCCCCCTCCCCCCCACATCGTCCTGGGCCCCCATATAGCCGTTTTTCATGCTGGACAGTGTCGCACTGTTGGGCTGGGCTGTGTCTTGCCTCTTTGGCCATCCATCTGCTAGGGTCACACCACTTGGCAGTCCCCACGCAGTACTTTGTGTCCATGGTTTGGTATTTTTTCTTTTTGGGCCACACCCGGTGATTCAGGGGTTCCTCCTGGCTCTGTACTCAGAACTACCCCTGGCAGTGCTCTGGGGGACCATGTGGGGTGCCGGGGATCGAACCAGGGCTGGCCGTGGGCAATGCAAATGTGCTACTCAGTGTCATACGGCCCCGTCCACGCTTCTGGGGGTCTTTCCTCCTCGTTGGTAGTTTCCACTTCGGAGTGCAATGACGGGCTCGGATGGAAACGACTTCCTGAGGAACTGCCGGGGAATCGCTGGGCTAGGAGGGGGAGCAGCCACCACCCGTGTCCCCAAACTATCCGGGAAGAGTGGGTGATGCACACCCAGGCGCACGACCCTGCAGAGCTGGGCCACAGGTGCCCCCCAATTCTCAGAGCTTCTGCGACCCTGAGAAAGGCTAAATACCCCGTTTCCTGATGGAGCTCTTCAAGCCCTTGAGGTGGCCCCCCCCCCCACCGCCTGTCCACACGCCCCCGTTACTCCAGGCAGAAAGTCGTTAGTGAGCAAACAGGATGGTTTAATTAGCAGAGGCAAGCGCCGTCCATGGCCCTGATTACAGTGCTCCACATGCAATGACATTCACTCTTGGTGCCGAAACGGCCCCCTGCCCCCTCCCCACCACAGCACTTCCAGAGTGACCCCTGCGTGATGTTCCCTGTCCCAGCAGCCGCCTCTCTGCCTGCCTCGGAGATCAGTGAACCGGCTGGCCCAGCCTGGGTGGTCCCAAAGGCACTTGGGAAGCGGGCAGTGTCTCGGGGCCTGCTGTCACCGCACGGTTCCGGGGGACAGAGGGGCTGCCCTGCTCGGGAGGGCGCTCATCTGCAGGGGCCTGGGACACGCTGATTCTTTCGTCACTCTGTAAACCCAAAAAGACCCACGGGAGTCACTTCGCCCCTCCAGACGCTCCTGCATTTTCAGAAGGAAAGTGCAGTATCTGGTCAGGAAAGTTATAAAACTGTCAACTGAAAACATTACGGGTGAGAGACAGGGGTGGCCCCAGGGGCAGAGGAGTTGCCGCAGGGACAGGCAGCCGTGGTGAGGCTGCTTTTTCCCAAAACAGAATTTTCGCTAAGTCTCATGTTAATCGCCAGGTAGCTCCCCCGTCCTCGGACCTTAAGGGAACCAGAAACACTGAAGAGGCAGCTGTCCCCAGTGCGTCTACCCGCTGCCTCAAGGTCCCACCCTGCGGGGAACCGTCTGCTCACTCCCCTTGCTCTGTTCTTGGGGGCTCCGGCTCAAAAAAGGTACGAGGTTAAGGGAGCGCTACTCGGGTTCCCGCGGCGAGGCCTGCTCGGCTTTAGAAGATGGAGGTTGGGAGCTCCTTCCGGAACATGCCCTCGAAGTGCAGGTCTCTGGCCATGAGCTCCTCTTCGACGTCATCGAGCGCCCACTGGTGGTCAGTCAGCTCCAAGGCTTCCCATTCTGTCTGCAAGGAAGGGAACATGATGGAGAGGGCGATCACTCTGCAGGGGGGACATGGCGGGGAGAGCGGTCACTGCAGCGGGATGCAGCGGGGAGGGTGGGGGGGCCGTCTCTGCAGGGGGACGTGGCGGGGAGGGCAGTTGCTCTGCAGGGGGAACACAGCAGGGAGGGTGGAGGGGCGGTCACTGCAGGGAGACGTGGTGGGGAGGGCGGTCACTGTTGCAGGAGCAGTGACTCTGGCTGGGCACTGTGTTTGCTGTGGACATGTATCAGGTTGTTGAAACCCACGAGGTGGGCACTGCTCCACCCCCCATGTTCCATCCCCATCACAGGTAAGCAGAGTGAGGTGAGTATGGCCACGGTGTGGCCAAGGTCACCGCTGAGGCATCTCGCGTCTCAGATACTCCCCGGATGCTGACTGCGGCTTGTCTCCCAGACATGCTGGACAGAATTCAATATGGGGCGGGCAGGGCAGCTCCTCCGAGCCCCCGCGTCTCCCCCCGCGAGATCAGGGCCTGGAAATAAGCCTCTGCCTGGCCTTGGGATCCTCCTGACTCCTGGCGGGGTGGGGCTGAGCTGACGGTGCTGGGGCACCCGAGCTGCCCGCCCCGGAGGCCCGGCCTACTTACCTTGAATGCTTTGTTGGTGTCCGCGGGCATGGCCATGGCGGCCCCCGTCATCTGCTCCTGCATCATGCGGGACTGGTCAGCGGCTAGAGAAGAAGACGCGGGCCATGAGTGCGGGGCAAGCAGCACCCAGGCCCACACGGGCGCAGACCCTGGTGCTGCGGGGATGCTGGGGACGGGCTCAGGGCATGGGCACGGGACTGCTTCCTGAGGAGAAAGGTCACCAGTCCTGGGAATCCACGTCTTGACCTTTTGGGTCTGGGGCCACACTTGGCAGTGGGTAGAGTGGGGGTTACTCCTGGCCCGTGTGTGGGACTCTCTCTCCAGTGCTTAGCCCACTAGGCCTGTCTGCCGCAGAGCCGCAGCCTGGGCTACGGAGCACCAGGGCCCTTCTGGCTGCCTCGGCCACTCCTAAGCGCCACCCAGCAGCGGGGCCGAGACACCGCAGGGCAGCAGAGCGAAGGAGGGACCGGGAGTGCGGAAGCCAGGACTGGCCAGCAGCCAGTGGCGACCCAGGCTCGCAGCCAGCTCCAGGCCCCAGGCTCGCTGCTGGCACTGCTCCCACGCCCAAGGGTCGCACACCCCGCGGAACCAGACACTGGAGCCAGAACCAGGTGACCGCGGGGGCTGCTCCAGTCACCAGGTTGACCCCAGCATCTTCCGGGCTCCACAGACCAGCCGACAAGCTGCAGGAAGGACAGCTCTGCGGGTGCTGACCCACGGTGCGCCCGCGCCCCCCTCACCTCGGCCCAGGGGCCGCGCTTGGTACTCACCGTTATCCTGGCCGAGAATCAGGGAGTAAATGCTCCGAAGCCCGAAGACATTGAGGAAGTACCAGGAGGCAGAGCTCACCCTGGCCAAGCGAGCGGGAACAGCGGGTGAGTTCCGAGACGCAGACGCAGACGCTCTGCGCCCGCCTCAGCCCTCCTGTGGGGCCCGAACCCGCACCCGTCTCATCCCTGGGGTGCAGGGCTGGGCCCAGGCCTGGGCGAGACCTCGTGGGGGGGCTGCCAGTCTAGTCAGGCCTGAGCTGGCGTGACACCCCGGCTCCACCTCCCGTCAGCCCCGGAATCTAGAGGCTGCGCAGACGAAAGGCTTTGCAGCCTGGGAGTGTCCGTGAGCCCAGGCGCAGACCGGCTGAGCAGGGCAGTGACACAGGGCCTCTCTCCCAGACTTGGCGCCCCAAGTCTGCCCCCTCCCTAGAAGTCCCACGGTGAGCCCCGTTAATGCCTGTTCTCCCCATCCCACCCTGTCTGCCTCCCTCTGCCCAGTCACTGGGCAGCCCCCTGTGGCAACCCCAGGCTCCGGTATCCCATCCCCTCCACTACCCCCTTGAGTGGCCCAGGGGGCCAAGAGGGGGCACCATAACAGCATATGGCAACACTGACGAATCCCCTGACCAGAGCCCCCTCGTCTGTTGGCCTCAATGGACTGGACACGTCCAGGCCGAGCCTTCTCTCCTTTGCCCTTCAGGCTTTGGGCCACATCTGACTGTGCTCAGGGAAGGACCGAATCTGGGAGGGCCACATGGTCCCCTCTCCTTTCTCAAGGCTCATGGAGAGGCTGGAGTGCACAGTGGGTAGGGTGCCTGCCTTGCACGCAGCTGACTCAGGTTCAATCTCTGGCACCACGTACCTGAGCCCTGCCAGGAGCGATGCCAGGAGCGATGCCTGAGTGCAGAGCCAAGAATAATCCTTGAGCAATGCCAGATGCCCCCCTCTAGAAACCACCAAAATAGAAGATGCCGAAATCCACACTTCACATGAAGTAAAGCTTTAATGAAAAAAAAAAAAAAAAGAAAATCCCAAATCCTTGCGGGCAGGAGAAATACTCTAGCAGGTCGGGTGTTCACCGCCTTGCCCGTGGCCAACCCAGGTTCAGTCCCTGATATCCTATAAGGTCTTCTAGAGTGATACCTGAATACAGAGCCAGAAGTAAGCCCTGAGTACCACTGGGTGTGGCCCCAAACCCAAGAAAATCCAAGATCACAGTCCAGTGAAAATCCAAACTCCTAATCAGGAAATCCCATCACTTAAGAGGCTTGGACGGTCTTAGATTCTGGCTGTGTTCTGATTAAGTGAAAGTGTTCTTGGGCCAGAGACACAGGGTAAGGTGCCTGCACCGCAAAGCCCAAGCACCACCAGGAAAGATCTCTGAGTACAGAGCCGGAAGCAAGCCCTGAGCCTCTTGGTATGGCTTAAAAGCCAAAATCAAACCAAACCAAGCAAAAAAAAAAAACAAAAAACAAAAAACAAAAAACAACGGCCAGTGGTTCCCGTAAGTATATAAAGTTTAGACTGAGTAGAGTTTTAGGGATTAAGTTTTGATGTAAACTTCTTGTTTTAACTGAATCATTACACAGTAGTCCAACAAACGCATATCCTACACAACTGCTATCTTCACATACGAAAAACCAAGACAGTGTTCTCACCAGGATGCATCCAAGGTGAGTAACTCGATCCCTTGCTGTAGCATAGGCTTAAAACGGAGCGTCAGCGGGAATGGGACCTTGGCTGCAGAGAAAAAAAGGAAAGTTCCTTTTTAAGCCGAGTCTCTTGAGAACAGGTGACGCATGAATGTGCTTTGTTTGCTCGAGGGGGTGGGAATTCTGTGCTACGCGGAGTTTGGAATAAGATTTTTCCCAAGGAAATCAGTGTTAGCTTCTGAAGCTAAAACAGCCCAATGTCGGCTGCTGCGGTTCGCTGGACAATCCTGTCTCTGTAGTGCCGGAGCTGAGCCTTCAGCTAAGGCCCGAAAAGCCGCGGGCACTGTAATTCTGGAAACCCCAGGGGAGAAGAGTCACGCGGAGACCTACATTGCGGGAAAGCAACCCCACTGAGCGCAAAGACAGTTTCTGAAGCAGAAGGCTCTCCCACCCTGAAAGGGAGAGGAAAGAGGCTGCACTGGCCGGTCAGTCCCGGAAGCGATGTCAACAGTCGCCCGTCACAGAGCAGAGGAGGACCCCAAAGGGCGGGCATGGCCAGAGGACAGGTGGTATGGGCCTGTGACTTACTTGTGACGAAGCCTGAGAAGGTCATGTTGATCCAGCCGCCTATGAGGATCATAGGGAGGACGTTCGTCACGTTGCCCTTCATCATGTCTGTGAGCATGGTGGGGTCTAGGACAGAAGCAGAGACTTCAGCAACCGGCTCCCGGGGCCTGGCCGTGCCCCTGACCGTCCCGACGGGAAGCTGACCCAGGAGTCTAAGAGGATTAGGGTTCAGCTGACAAGGAAGCGGAAGCAGACAGCGGCTGACACCACTCAGTGTCCACACTTTCACCTGCTTCGCCGAATCTGTCTTCCAATGGACACATCACGAGAAACGATGCTTATTTCTGGTTCTACTGACCGTTTTTTTTTGTGTGTTTTTTTTTTTTGCCTTTCAAAACAGGGGCCAGGCCAGCAGAGCCTGGGTGTGGGGGAGAAAGGGTCTGTGGTACCAGGGGTCTAACAGCGTCTTGCTCATGCCATCCGCGTAGCTCCCTGGGCCCGCGCGTTCTCTGGTGCTCACCGATGAGCCCTATCCCGATGGGACCCAGGGGACCAGATGCAGTGCTGAGGATGGAAGCAGAGTTGGCTGAAGCCTCCTGCCTGATCTCATCTCTCCAGCCCCTTCAGAAAGGAGCGCGAGGGGAGGGCATTTCCACTGCAGTGTAATTTTCTATTTCTGTACAGGATTATACCGTACCCATCACTTCTGAGTGAACCTATGATCATTCCAACTTTTCCCTATGATAAACGTCACTGCCTATGGCGACTATGTCCCTAAGATGAACTTTTAGAAGAATTGTTTTTCTTTTATTTTTTGGGTCACACCCGCTGATGCACAGGCATTACTCCTTGCTCTGCACTCAATTAATTTTGGCAGTGCTTGGGGGACAGTATGGGATGCTGGGGAGCAAACCAGCGAGTGCCTTACCTGCTGTACTATCTCTCCAGCCCTAGATTTTTGTGGTCAAGAGATGTGAATATCTGAAATGGAAAGCGGGCCAGGAATGCACAGCAGTGGCAAATCACATGCTCTGCAGGTATAAGGCCCAGGTTCCATCTCTGGCACAGAACACAGACACAGACACACATACAGACACGCACACAAATCAACAGAACCTGAAGTGGAAAAATCCCACTAGGCTCTCCTCCCCTGGCAGCCACGGCTCTGGCCGAGCTTTTCAATCTTTGCCAACACGGTGTGCCACAAAGGGCGGCTTGTCTTAATGTGCATGTTAAAAAAAATTATTAGAACTTTTACTTAATTTTTCATTTTAAAAATTGAGGTTCTGTGGTTTACAGCGCTATTAATCAGGGCTGCTCTCACACAAATTCCACCCCCACCCCCAGTGTTACCCCTCCCTCTCCCGCAGACCCCACTGCCCCTCCTTCCGCCCCCACCCCTCATCTCAACTGTGTGGCTCGGTTCTCCCTCATGTTGCCATTGGCCCTGTGCTGCGACCTTGCTGTCTCTGAGTCCCACAGAGATCACTCTGCGCCCGTGCCTTTGCCCCTGCTGCTACCCTCTAATTCTGTCTCTGCTGCAGGCCACAGATTTCTATTGCCTTTTTCTCCACCTACTGGTCTGAGTTGCGGGTTTTCTACATGAGCCACTAAAACAACGTCTAGGACCCGAAGAAAGGGGCTATACGAAGGGACAGTCCACAGAGAGTAAGAATCCCATTCCGCTGCCAGGGCTGTACGGGAAGGAGCTGGCTGCCAGCCGGGCGGGTCAATTGCGGTGAGTCAGGGAAATGATGGCGTCCAAAGAAGCCAGACCCCCTCTTGCTTGGCAGAGTGGCAGGACAATTCCCTCATGCCCTCCCCACCACACCAGGGTGGCTGTGCTTTTTTGGGCCACGCCAGGCAGTCCTCTGGGCTTACTCCTGGCTCTGTGCTCAGGGGTTACTCCTGTTCAGGGGACTATCTGTGGGGCCAGGGATCAAACCCAGGCCAGTGACATGCAAGGCCAGAGCCCACTAGCTGTGCCATCACTCTGCCCCTTGCCTGAGCTTTGGATCTACTTTATACTCTGGGCTCCAGAAGATGTATTTGCAACATGCAAAGAGGAACAGCACTTGTTGAGATGAGTTCTAGGGGGCTGTCATCTCCAAGCTGACATTTAAACCAAGGGCACTCTGGGCCCCCATCCCCACCCCTCACGAGTCACCGCCAACAGCTGGAATGCACGTACCAGTCATCGGAGAAGGAGGGACCACCTTCCTTTTGGTTTTTTTGAAAAATCCATCCTCTGGGTTGTTGAAGTAGTATTTTCTGGTCAAGAAAGACTAGGAGAGAAACAGCGTTGTCGGTCTTGAAACTGTGACAGTGCGCCAGCGAGTCAACCCCCAAGGGCCGTGGAACGGGCTGTGGCGCGCTCGGCTGGCAGCCAACTTGGCTGTGGCCCCAACACCTCAGCTGAGTCACATGCACAATCTGCTTGAAGGGTTTGGTGGCCCCAGGACTGCCTGCCAGCACCCCCACCACCCCCTAGCATCGGAGCCCACAGCATTGGAGCACCTGGAGCACCGAGTGACCAGTACCTGTTTGGGGATGTATTTCCCGTTTTCCCTGAGGACTCTGCTTCGGATGAGGACTTGACTGGAAAATACGACAGAGACAATGAGACTTTTAACTGCGTGACCCGGAAAGGATGAGCTGAGAGCAGGCGGCCTACCGCAACAGTTCAGGACAGAAATGTCTCTGAAAAGGGATCAAGGGGCGAGAAGAAGCGCCGAGGGCCAGCACCGCGCATAGCACGGGGGAGGCCTAGGGACCATCCCCTGCAAGGTCCCTGAGCACCTGGGAACATGTTTGCCTCCCTCCAAGCCCCATGACAGCATTTATCCCAACCACCAGGGTTTCTAGAGTGGTCTTGTTTTTTGTTTTAAGTGACAGCATTTCTCAACAGATTTCTGAAGCAGGTAATATGTTGAAACATTTTCTTTTTTGGTTTTCGGGCTATATCCTGTGGGGCTCAAGGCTTATTCCTGGCTCTGCACTCTGTGAGCACTCCCGGTGGTGCTCAGGGGACCGTCCAAGGTACCAGGGATTAAACCCAGGTCAGCTGTGTGCAAGGCAAGTGCCTTCCCCACTGTACTGTTGCTCTGGCCCCATATTTGGGACATCATACCCAGGTTGTCCTTACTCTGTAATCAATTAAGTCATGAGACAGAAGCTGAATGCTACTCAGAAGGCTTGGGGGTGGGAGGAAGGAGAATGAACCCCGGAAGATAATGAGCACAGGACTGAGGGGCTATCATCTGACAGCAGAAGAGAAACCAGGCTCACGTTGGAATTACGGGTTCAGGAACATCTGTTGCATCAGTTAAATCAAATTATTTGGTGATAACTGTCAGTCACTAAAGATTGCAGAAGGGCAAGAGAGACGACTCAATGGCCTGAGCATGTACTCTTTATGTGGGAGCCCCAGGTTTGATCCCCAGCACTGCCTGATCCCCTGAGCACTACTGGGGGCAGCCCCTGAACTCAAAGCCAAGAGCAGTCCTTTAAATGTCAATCAGTAATTAATCAAAAATATTTAATTATCACCAAATAATGATGATAATAATAACAAAAGTCGTTCCTTAGCACTCCCAGGGTGGCTCAAAAATCAAAAGGGGAAAAAAAATCAGTTCTGTGATACTAATACACAAATACCAAACACCAAAAGCATTGTAGGTGTTTTTAATTTTTTTTAAATATTATTTTATTTTGGCTTATTTTGGGTCACACCCAGCGATGCTCAGGGGTTACCCCTGGCTTGCATTCTGGAATTACTCCTGGCGGTGCTCCAAGGACCATATGGGATGCTGGGGATGGAATCTGGGTCGGCCATGTGCAAGGCGAACGCCCTCCCCGCTGTACTGTCACTCCGGCCTGCATGTAGGATTTAAACTTTAGAACGCTTAAGAAAATACACAGATGATCCCCAAACGGAATGACCTACTTCTCTCACGTTGCCTCTTACCTATATTTTTGGGGAGCCTAATTTAACATTTTCTTGAGGAGACTGGTGTTGATCTTTACAAAACCCCAGAATAATCCAGTGGTCGAGGCAGTGCCCTGGCAAGACTCTTGGCTTGAGAACCATGGTCAAGCTTCGACTGTCACCCCGTGAGACCAAGGCCCCAATTATGGGACAAGCGTATTCGCCTCATGGACTTGCTTTGAATTTTGTTTAAAAAAATATATACATATGTTAAAAATATATATATATATATTTTGCGGTGTTGCGGATTGAGTCCAGGGCCTCATACCCCCTAGGCATGCAGTCCACCCCGGAGTCCAGGGCGAGTTAGACTAGTGATCAAGCACAGGGTACGTGCTAAGAAATAAAGCCGGACCGACCCCCACTTGGCGGATCCCGAATAAATGCAACAACCCAGGGGCGCGGGGTGGGCGTCCAGCGAGATCGCCGGCAGCGTCCGGGGTGGGGGGCATTTCCTAGGCGCCGAGCCCCGCACCGACCTCGCCGGGAAAGCCCAGGGACCCCCAGGCGGGCTCCGCGAGGAGCGCCCCGGGTCTTCCCCTCCCCCAGCCGGGGCGGGGGCCTCGCCGACCCCCGCAGCCCGGCACCGCCGCGCCCAAGGTCACGGGCCCGGGGCGGGGGGCAGCGGGGCGCGGGCGCTGACCTGTCCGAGACCTGCTCCTGGGTGAGCTTCTTGTCGCTCTGCAGCAGGATGGACACGTAGTGGCGGATCATGCCCACGAAGAAGGTGATGATGACGATGGGCAGGACCACCCAGAGGCGGATGTTGGAGTCGAGCAGCAGCTCGGGCCCCGCCATCTCCCCCGGCCCCGGCGTCGGCGCGCGTCGCCGGCTCCTCTGTCCGCGGCGCGGGGCGGCTGCGCGGGGCCGTCGGCGGCCGGGCCGGGCCCCGGGTGCGGCTGCTGCGGGCGGGCGGGCGGGCGGGCGGGCGGGCGGGCGGGCGACGCTCGGCTCCGCGCTCCCCGCCGGCCCCGCGGCCACTCACTTCCGGCGCGCGGCGGTGACGTCAGCGCGCGCGCGGCGGCGGCGTCAGGGGGCGGCGCCAGGGCGGGAAAGTCGAGGTCGCGGGGCGGCGACGGCGAGCGCGGGCTGCGGAGCCGCGGGGCTGAGGCGGCGGCGGCGGCGGCGAGGCGGCTTCTCCGCGCGGGCTCCGGGCGCCGGCGTCGCGCAGGTCCGTGTCCCGGCGGGCGGCGACGGGCCGGGGGGCCGCGGCGGGCCGGGGGGCGGGGGCGGCGCTGGCCCCGGCGGCCGGAGGCGCGGGCGGCGGCAGCACCCTGCACCCTGGGGGGCCCCGAGCTGCCCCCTCCCCCCACGCGCAACGGCGGGCGAAGCGCCCCGGTCCCTGGCCCACCGCCGCGGAGCCGCGCGGAGAGGAGGCTGGAAACGCTCGGCGTTCGCGGCGGGGGGCGGGTTGCGGGGGGGCTCTGCGGTGAGAGAGAGAAGGTTCTAGAAGGCCTGCGCAGGTGCAGTGCTCGGCGGGGCTGCCATGTTTCCTAGGAGACCCGCGTCGCAGGGGGCGGGCCAGGGCCCGACGCGGAGCCCTGGGGACGGAGGACGCGGGCCGGGGGCCGGAGGGTCCTGCGCGCCCGCCCGCCCGCCACGGCCTCTGCCCCTCCCCCCCGTGAGACCCTCGGCGGGCGTCTGCGGGGAGGTGCGTGCCGCAGGGGGGGTGCGGGGAGGCGCCTTCAGTGGGGGAGGGGCGTGCAGTGCGGGGAGCGCGGGGAGATGCACGCGGTGCGGGGAGGGGCGTGCAGTGGGCCCCCAGGAACCCCAAGGAGGCGCTTGCCATTCCGGGTCAGCACCGAGTGCCACCTCCGAGTGTCCCCTGCGTGGGGGTGGCCAGCAGCCAGTAGCCAGCACCGCCCCCTCGCCCCAGGCACTGAATTTCCTTCCCCCCCCCCAGCTCCAAGGGCTCAAAGGCTTGTAGCCTGGCGGGGGGGGGGGGGGGGGGGGCGACCTGACTTTGAGTCTCAGAACTGGAGGATTTTTTTTTTCCAAACCTTTTCCCCAGGAGGGAAATGGGCGGCCCGAGAGGCAACTAGGTGTAGAGGACCCTGTAAAGCATGAAGTGCTTTCAGAGAACAAGGTCTAGGCCTTCTTTTATGAGACTGGATTGTGCTTTGCAGATTCTGCATTGGAGGGGGGTGGGGGGCTACACCCTGTGGTGCTCAGGAGTCACTCCCTGCAGTGCTTGGGGGATCGATCAGATGGGGTGCTGGGGAATCAGACCAGGTTGGCTGCATGCCAGGCAAGCGCCCTCCCCACTGTACCATCACTAGCCACTGTGGTTCTTCATTTTAATTTCTTATTTAGGCTCTTGGGTTCTCCCCAGCAGTGCTCAGGACTGCCTCCTGGCTCTGGACTCGGGAATCGCTCCTGGTCGGGCATCCCAGCACCGTATGGGATGCTGGGGATTGAACCTAGGTCAGCCACCTGCGAGGCAAGGGCCCTCCCCACTGGACTATCCTGCTGCCCTGAGTGTTAAAATTAATGGTGTGAATTACTGCCCCCAGCCCCCTCGGATCGCTCATGCTGCCCTACCGCTGCTCTTCCCTCATCTCTGGGCAGTCTCCAGTTGAGGGTTCCGGACAGGAAGCGAGCGAGGCTGTTGTCATGGCCTGCATTCATGCCTCGGGTCACAGTAACTCATGCTGCTTTCCATCCTGCTCTCACACACAGTGTAGTGGAAGTGAAATTAGCTGGAGAGGTACTGCAGAGGGTGGGATGCCTGCCTTGCACACAGCAAAGCTGGGTTCGATCCGTGTCATTACAAACAGTCACCTGAACCCTCCAGATAAGTTTCCTTAGTTCTGCAGAGCCAGGAGTAAGTTCTGAGCATCGCCAGGTGTGGCCACAAAACAAAACAAAAAAAACTTAGGTACGGGGTCAGAGAGCAGGGTGGGCTCATCCGTGGCACCACTTAAGGTCCCCTGAACCCGCCACGCGTCAGATCTGAGCATCACTGGGTGTGATCAAAAAAACACAGAACATACGGACACACTAGGAAGCCCAGTGCCTTGGTCCCCTCTTTATTATGAGTCTACTTTATGCAGGTGCAACTTCCCTGAGATGTGTCTGTTGACTGCATACCATACAGGAGTTGAGGTTTTCTGGTTTCTCTGAATTACCACTTCAGCCTCTCAATTTCTTTAACTTCTAAAGGTTAACTTCTGTTCTCTCTCTTTGGGTTCTACTTATTTTTTTAATCTGGGCCATGCCTGGCTATCCTCAGGGATCACTCCTGTGGACTTGAAGGAGCATGTAGGTTGCCGAGGATAAAAATCAGGTCAGCTCCATGCAAGGCAGGCACCCTCCCTGCTGTACTGTCTCTCCCATCCCCCCCTTTAAAAAACAAAAACAAAACCTTTATTGATTAGGTTCTGTGGTTTTCAGTATTACTTAACGATGGTTTTCTGTGCACATCACTCCAGCACCACATCCAGTATTGTTCTCTCATTTTCCTCTAGGAAGTAATTTAACTGCGAAAGACTTCGATGGAAATGGTTTCCAAAAGAAGACGGTTGTCAAACTCCGAGAATCAGGAGGACCAGAGAGAAGAAGATTCCAGTAAGGATCTGGTCACTTGTGGTTTATTTCCTACAACAAGTATGTGAGGTGCTACAAGAAATTTCCTCCTTTCGGATCCTGGGAATAATTGAGGCTTTATTGGTAGAGGATCCAGGACCTAGTGGTGGCACTTGAGTGTTTTGAGTTCCTGCCCCTAAATCCATGTGTGACTTCGGGCAAGTCTGACATCCCTGAACCTCAGTGACCTTGCCCACCTCCATGGCGGAAATAGTTCTAGAAGCCTTGCGGGTGCTGGGCACAGGATGTCGTCTGTATCCTTTCTCTGTGGGTGGTCTCTGTGTCTGAGGCGAGACCCTTTAGTTTCAGGGGCTGCTCCCAACTTTGCTCACACTCACTCGCAGCCGTGCTCGGCCTCCCTCCGGCAAACTGTGGACACAGCTCTCTCCTGCTCAGGCCTTTACCCTCTACAGTGCCTTATGGCTCCTTTCTCCCCTCAGCAGAGTTGAGTCTCGATAAATGCTCGGTAGTGATGCATAAAGGAAGGTGTAGTGGTGAGAGCAGCGTGCCGGTGACTTGGTCACAGCAGGTGTGGTCAGGAAAGGCCTGGAGTGTTCTGAGAAGGTGATGGGACTTTTTGTTTGTTGCATTCATCGACGCTGGAAATTTTAACCAGTGGATTAGATTTATTTCTCACTAGCTTCTGGAATTTGCATTTGGCTCTTGATCATAGGTAATTGATACTGAGATAGGTGCTTACTGACTTTTCTTGTTCAGTTGATGTGCTATGTGCAGCGTGGTCTGGAGCAGTGGAGGCACCTGGCTTGCATGGGGCTGCTGGGTTTCAGTTCCCCACATCCCATAGGGTCTTGTGCATTGCCAGGAGTGACTCCTGAGCACAGCCAGGTGTGGCCTCAGAACAAAAATTAATTTTTTTCCTCTGTGCAGTGTTTCTACACCATTCCCCCAGCAGAATGCCGTTATTCCCAGAAGCTGAGACGCCCCTCAGGAGCCCATGGTTGGCTTTAGTTTAAGGCACCACAGATCGTGCCAGTGGTGAAATTTTGTGCACAGAGTGTTCCATTACTCTGCTCCTCGCCTGTGTGTTTGACTTTCTTGAAGAGCTTTGAGGATGATTAAAAATGTCTATGTCGAACCCCGGGTAGGAATTTCATTTCATTTTTCATTTCATCATCCTGTTAATCGTCGATTGCCTCGAGCAGGCCCCAGTAACGTCTCTTTCATCCTAGCCCTGAGATTATATTCATGGCTCTTTAGGCGAATGAGACCCATCATTGTTACTGGTATTTGGCATATTTGGTACGCCACGGGGAGTTTGCCAGACTCTGCCCTGTGGTCAGGCTACATTCGATAGCCTGCAAGTTTGTCCAAAGTAGGAATGAGATAATAAGATGTCATAAAGAAAAGTTCTGATAAGATGTTGCGCGGCCGCGCGGTTCCGGGATCTGGATTTTATAGTCTCTGAGTCTTGGCCGCTGATGGGATTACACGGCGCCAGGGGGCCAGGTGGTGGGTGTGACCCCCGCCTGCTGGAATTTGGAGGATCTGGGTAGAAGATGCTCAACTCCAATTCGAGTAGGCTTGGAGATCTCGGCCCCAGAACCCGCGTGGCTTTGTCCCTCTGCCAGTACCTTCATGTGTGCGGAGAGTGGTCTCAGCATGGTGGTGGCTGGTCCTGGAGGTCTTCGGCTGCCGGAGCCCCGGTCGGGGCGGGGAGGAAAGCTCGACCCGCTCCCCTCCAAGGGGTCCCGGCGAGGGACACCCAGGCGCGGGGGCAAAAAAGAGGGCGTGAAACCGTTAAGAGGTAAACGGGTGGGGTCCGCGCAGTCCGCCCGGAGGATTCAACCCGGCGGCGCGTGGCCGGCCGTGCCGGCGGTCCGGCGGATCTTTCCCGCTCCCCGTTCCTCCCGACCCCTCCACCCGTCCTCCCTCCCCTCGCCGTCCGCGGGGGGGGGGGTGGGCGGGCGGGGCCGGGGGTGGGCGGGCGGGGACCCCCCCCCCCCCCCCCCCCCCCCCCCGGCCGGCGACTGGCCGCCGCCGGGCACATTTCCACCCCGGCCGTGCGCCGCGACCGGCTCCTGGACGGCTGGGAAGGCCCGGCGGGGAAGGTGGCTGGGGGGGGGGCCCGGCTTCCCCCTCGCGGGGGGCGTCGGGACCCACTCCCCCCCCCAGTGTTACAGCCCCCCCGGCAGCAGCACTTCGCCGAATCCCGGGGCCGAGGGAGCCAGACCCGTCGCCGCGCTCACCCCCATGGGGGGCTCCCCCGCCCCCTCCGCGGGGGCGCGGGGGGGGGGGGGGCGGGGCGGACTGTCCCCAGTGCGCCCCGGGCGGGTCGCGCAGTCGGGGGGGGGGGGGGGGGGG